AGGGGAAGCTTCAGCATGGTGGAGGTGGGGTGGGAGGGGGGATGCAACAGGGATGGAAGGAGGGATGGAGGGGTGGAAGGCGGATGGCAGAGATGATGCAGGGGGATGGAGGAGGGATGGAGGTGATGGGGAGGATGACAGAAATGGAGGGGGCAATAGAGGAGGATGGATGAGGAATGGGGGAGTGGAGGAATGGAGGGGATGGAGAGTGTTATGGAGTGGGATGAAGGGAGTGATGGGAACATGGAGGAGGTAGAGAACGGGATGGGGGAACAATAGGAGTTATGGACAGGGTCACTGCTGGGGCCACCTTTCCTCGCCTGCCCTTTCCAGGGGAAGGATCCATCCACAGAGTGCTGCAGTTGGCCCCTGTCAGGGGCACAGCCATAGGGTGGGGACAGCCCCTTGGGACAGCCCAGACCTGATTGTGCTGTCCCCGTTGCAGCCCCTGGCTCCCCACAGCCCTGTGCCATGGGCTTGGGCCCTGTGTCCCCAAGGCTGGGCTCAAGGGCACCATAGTTCTGCTCCCCTGACAGACCCTGGCTGTGGTGGCCCAGCCCCAAATCCCCTGTGGATCAGGCTGTGGGGACAGGTGACACACAGGAACAGGAGGATATTTAAACAGTGCATGAGATATGGGCAAAGAGGCACAGGGGACATGTCAGGAGTGGGGACATGTAGGGACGGTCTGATGGATTAGGACAGTGTGACATGTCAGGTGAGGTGACCTGTAAGGACACGGTGACACAGGGAGGATGAGGTGACATGTGCAGGCAGGATGACACACAGGGACACAGTGCCAGGTAGGGCAGGGTGACACATGAGGATGGGCCCTTGCCCRCAGGTGTCAGCACAGGACCAGAGTGTGCTGGTGGTGGCCAATGGCCTCCAGCCTCAGGGCTGACCCTTGGAACTGTCCCTGGGGTGATGGGGCKCAGGGGACACTGAACCCTCATTGTGGCCATCCTGGGCCAGCCCTGGGGTGCCTGGGCAGAGAGATGTGGGACAACAACCCCACAGAAATCCACAAAGCAGCCAGGGCAAGGCCCTGAGCCCCCTTTGTGTTTGGGGTAGTATGGTGTCTATGCTGTCTGTGGGGATATCGTGTGTATGGGGATATGGTGTGTATGGGATTTATGATGTGTATGGGGTTTATGATGTGTATGGGG